ATTGATTGAATAATCAAATATTATTGATTACAAATTTAAAAGTTTAATAGTCAGTATTGATAATTAATTAATGAAGTTCTGCTGCTTTTGATGCTGTAATTTTTGTTATGATTGTAAGTACTCTTTATATAATTGGTATTTTCTTTAAATCATTAACTTACATTTATTATTATATATAAAGTAAGAAATAAGACTAAAATTATCTTTTTCAAAAAATAGTTAAAAACTGATGAATCATGTATGTCAAGTATTGAAAAAGTTAACTCTATCCATCATTCTTTCTTATTTTGAATTATGATTAAGATAAAGCATCCTCTCTATTTCTGTCATCTAGCAATAAAATAAATTATTTTTGTATACATTGTTGCATAAATTGTTGCTTTATACCGCGAATAAAAATTATTCTGACGGAAGGAGATGTCTCAAGCAAAGAAAATTCATCGTGAAGAAAATTCATATACTGTCGATATGTCTATCATGATTTTAAAATCCGAATATTGAAAGAGATGAAAAGGGAAGAATCATGATATTTTTTTTGTATCTTCTTTATAACTTTCGAATTGAAAAACGAAATTATGAATCACATATCTACGAATAGCAAATATGAAAATGACTTTTCTGATTAAACTGAGGAAGTTTCTCTCTTATGTGCTAGTTAAATAATTATTTTACAATAGGTAAACGTTAATATTGCTGACGAAAATTACATCCGGCTACCAATTTGATTAGATATTAACTGAATAGATTTTGACCAATATATTGATCTAATTTGTCTTTCGAGATAATGTTTATTCTTACAGTTTGTGATAAAATTTTATACAGCAATTTCCACGTAAATTAGCTATATAGTCTTACTTCATATTGTATTATATATAACGAGAAATGTGTCAACTATAATATTTCGCATTTCCACGTAAACTTCCTCGCCACGAGATTTCAAAAGCGTGATAAATCCTCTATTTTAAATTCATCACACATATCCCTGCATTCTTATCGTTATACTATCCGGTATGAGTTTATATAAGGACGTCACTCGCAAATTTTGAGAGCTCCATGTATATTTTGTGCTTCCAAACGGGCGCTCGTAAACACCGCAGTATGTCACTCTTCATGTGCGCTCGTATAACAGAAAAATAACATGTTGTATAAAAGCTAAAGTCTTCGCCTGTGCAAAAGTAATGGCGAAGCGAGATGTAGAGATGTATTTCTTTGTATGCACGAAATGGAATGATCTAAAGTCTCATTACACATACATAAATTTTGTCATTAAAAATTTTTATTTTCTCTTATGATCTTTTTCTTATAATCTTTTTTGTTATGGCGATCGCACAATCTTTCCATTTTTCCTTATTTGGCTTTTAATATCGTGATAAGAGAGAGAATAAGCATTGTATGTTTCTATAATAATTCTACAATAAAATTCAAATTATTCGATATATCCTCCGTCTGCAACTTGGGACTTTTTTGGCACAAACAAAATTTTTCTTTCAAATTTCTCAAAAATAAATATATATTTTTTAACAGCAAAAAAGAACCTGGACTAGATAGAGAGAATAAAAATATAATAGCAGATGGCGGGAAAAAAATAAAACACAATCGAGTTCACACTCAAGGTATTCTTTTATATGATGTGACAATTGTCGAATATGTTAAAAAGTTGATTTAAGATTGATTGGCGTGCTATCAAAACGACAATATGAAAAACCCATTTATTCTTTAGGGAAAAAATAGAAAAAAAAAGAGAGAGACAGAAAGCTGGTATTCGCGAAAATAACGTTGAATATATAGCGGCAGTGATCTCGCCGGAAGATATACACACGAAGATTTCGCGTGACTGGCAGTCGAGAGAAAAGCAGGTGGGAGGGAAATTCTGGGCGGAACACCGAATGCGGCATCTCTTCGTGTCTTTCAGCCGGGGCTACGTGACATCCTCGTTAAAATATAAC